AGTAACCTTACCCATGTCAGAAACCTAAGTTAGAATAAATCATAGCAATCTGATAAATGACTCTTGTATCAGGTTCAAGAATTGGTGTCTACAGCTTGCTTTGCCTTCCTCTCAGGCTAGAAACAGAAGTCACATTTGTCCCAAGAGAAACCCCTTCACCCCGGGACAAAGTGCAGTTGGTCAGACATGCCTGCCTGTTGCCTCAGGACAAACCCTAGGAAGGTTCATGGAATAAGAATTGCTAATGCTTTGTCCCTGGACATCACAAAGTGTGTCTGAAGAGTTATCCCGGGATTGCATCACTGAATCAATGGCAAAAAAGCAGCAGTGGATTCAGCTGCTCACCAAACCCTGACTGGAATGGAAGGGGATGTGTGGACACACCAATCCTGGGACATTTCTGTTCCAGGACGAACACAGGCACCACTTGTCCTGGGAGAAATGCAACATGTGTTCCTCACCTCGGCACCTTCAAGCAAGCCCCTTGCTTGAAGAACTTGTTTTATAACTGGGTCTTGACAAATGGAAGAGATTTGTAAAGGGGAAGACAATGAGTAAGGATATTATCTCAGAATACGCTCTGTGTGTGTGTGTGTGTGTGTGTGTGTAATATACATATGCAATGTGCGATATATGTATACTACGTATATGTTTGCATGTGTGGGGCATTATGTGTGTGTGTAATGTATGTATGCAGTGTGTGGAGTGTGTGATATATATGCATGCAATGTGTATGTTTGTGCATATGTGGGGGCATGTGTTTGTGTGTAATAATAATTCAGTATGTGGTGTGTGTATGGTCTATGTATGCAATGTTTAATGTTTGTGTGTGGGGGCACTTGTCTTATAACTGGGTCTGGATAAATGGAAAGATTTGGAAATGGGAAAACAATGAGTAAGGATGTTTTCTCAAATGCCGTGTGTGTGTGATACATGAATGCAGTGTGTGTGTGTGCATACGTGTGTACAATATATGCATGCAGTGTATGCTATACATGCATAGTGTGTGTAATATATGAATGCAGTATACATGTGCACACATAATACATGCAATGTGTAATATATGCATGCAGTGTGTGCATGTGTAATATGAATGCAGTGCATATATGAATTTAGCGTGTATAATATGAATGCAGTGAGTATTATATCCATGCAGTGTAATATATCCATGCAGTACGCACATGTAATATATGTATGCAGTGTGTGGGGTGTGTGATATATATGTATGCAATGTGTATGTTTGTGTGTACATGGGGGTATTTTGTGTGTGTGTAATGTATGTATGTGTGGGGTGTGTATGGTCTATGTATGCAATGCTTAATGTTGGGGGGGGCACTTGTCTTATAATTGGGCCTGTGCAAATAGAAAGAGATTTGGAAATGGGAAAACAATGAGTAAGGATATATGCACACAGTATGTAATATATAAATGCAGTATATATGTGTGCACACATGTAATGCATGAATGCAGTATGTGTAATATATGCATGCACATGTAATATGAATGCAGTGTATATACTATGAATGCGGTGCGCACAATATATGCACGCAGTGTACACAATATATATGAGCAGTGCACATGTGCAATACATGCATGCAGTGTGCCTACACGTGTGGAATACAGGAAAGCACTGCATGTAATATACATGTGCAGTGTGTGTAATACATGAATGTGGTGTGTCTGTGTAATAGATTCATGCAGTGCATGCATGCGGAATATATGCAGGTGGTGTGTGTATGTATATGAATACAGTGTGCGCTCACAAGTGTAATTTATGAATGCAGTGTGTGTGTAGTATAACCAGGGGGTGTAATGTATGAATGCAGTGTGTATGTGCGTGCAAAGAAACCCACACAGGCATCACCCACCTGGGAAACCAACTCCCCAGCCCAGAGTAAGGCCAGGTCCGACGGCAGGCAGCCCTCAGGACATGCCAGCCGGTTCCCCTTATGGGTTTCACTCGGGAACAATCCCCGCCCCCGGAGGCGAGCACCTCTCCGGCCGCAAGCCGGGAGCTTTGCCTCCGCTCTCCCGAGCAGCCCGGGACCTGGCACCCCAGGGTGGCATGAGAGGGGGAGCCGGCCCGAGCCCTGCAGCAGCGCGGGCGCCACCCCGAGGCGGCAGGAGGCTGCCGCGCGCCCAAGCCCTGCCCCC